CACGGTCAGCAATATTATCAATAAAATCCCAAAGAATTCATAAGGAGGCTCTTCGCTTCTTTATTTAAGAAAATTCAAAAAGTCGCAAAATATTATTGGGGGGGCTCTAGCCCCCCAGCCCCCCCTGCTCTGCAGTCCCTGTGCCCAAACCCCAACCTGGAGGACCAGGGAATTACTCTTTGTCAGGACCTACCCTTCAACCTTTTTGACATGGGAGGCCCTACTAGGAGTTCAAGACTCCAGTCACCATAGCTCTAAGAGTCAACGGGACACTCAAACAGTTCCTCCAGGATAAGGTGGTAATTCCATAAAACTGGAACCAGGTATTATTATTCGATCAAAATAAGTGTGAAGAAAATGACAGTATCCGATCCTAGGAAAATCTCACATGAATGGGGTAAAATTCTGTCAAWTATTCCCTACTTCAAGATTACCCTTTGGTTCCTACAATTCAATGCAAATGAACAGAAACCGAAGATTGCCATGTGTGAGATTTGACATCTAAAATAGACATTTAAATATTAAATTTTATTGTTCCATCTAGTAGAGKGCTTTTAATAAAAGTGTGAAACACTCRTTACTAAATTGTACWAAATAGTGATTGCTGGACAATGGAAAACAATAGAATTAGTATAAAATACTATTACTAATATTTCATGCTTTTACTAAAAGCACTGTAGTGTTTTTTAATGTTAATAAAATCACAATAACTTCACCTGGATTTTATTTCATTTCAGAACCCCATATTTTATTGTTCAGAAGACCAAAACATCCAAATCCAACATGACATATTATTTAACAAATGAAAGTTTTGATATTACATTATTGTGTAAATAGTAGCAAATTAAAATATTACTACAGAAGTTATGGCTTTGACCTACTTATTTGTTAGACATAAAGTTCTTGATGTTATTGTGCTACTGGAATGATTATGATTTAATCATTCCTTGGGTTCAACAAATAATAATAATGAACTTAAGTATAGGCATTAATGTTCAAAGCTTAATGGGAAATAAAGTTGTTGTAGACTATGATATTTGTATTATGTTTGCATAATGAATTTAAAAATATCTAGCTTTACTGAAGGCAATTTTGTGAATTCACTTTTGTAGACATACATTCAAAGAAATTTGGAAGAGTTTATTGCATAAATAAAAGTAATGCTGCATAGAATAAAAGCTCTGGCGCACTTTATTTTTAACATTTATAAACTTTATCCAAAATATTTTGTAATGATAAAAAAAACTTTTTTTACAATTTGTTTGCTGTCATTCTTTCATAGTACAAATAAATAGCTTCCCATTGCCTGGAACCAAGTCTAATGTGAGGTCTTTTTGACTGGATATAACTGTGGGCTTCACTTGGATTCATTGTGAACTTCTGTTGAAAAAATACATGCCTGTCAGTATTTGATGCTCATATGGGCATGATGATAAAATCCTAAGTCARAATAACTGACTTTATGTAATTTTCATCTTGATTTACCTTGATGAGGTAACAAGCAACAAGTGTCGCACTTCGYCCTCTTCCTGCTTTACAATGTACATATACAGTGCTGTCTTCTGACTGCATATCTTCAATGAAGCTAACACCTCTATCCAGCWTCTCCTGTGGTGGTGCATTATTGAAGTCCACTGTTGCCAAACAAAGCTGCTTAACACCCCAACTTGCCCATTCCTAAATATATAATAAAAATACTATTCATGATGTACACCTAAATGATAAATAGTAGTTGGTCAGGCTGTATGGAAACTATAATTCCACCCTTCTTTCATGCTCTTAGAGTGCTGCTTGTTTGAGCTCCTCACAATGACCTTAACTGCTTTGCAACTCTCCCAAAATTCCTACCATTCATATATTCCCACTCAACCAACTGCCGAATATAATCATTGATTCAATTGAGAATGAATACAAAAGCTTAGCATCAGGAATTACCTCAGTACTGTTGCACAAATACTTGGTCTCATATTCTTCATTCAGTGTCACAACTGCTCTCACTTTTTCCTCCTCAACAAGCTAATAAGAATATTTCAGTTAAGCTTAATGAATTGTTCCTTTATAACAGGATGCACAAAATGTGTTATTACCTGCTTAGTTTGGCTTTTAAACGGCAAAGCTCCGAGTATAACACCATTATCTATTCTATCATACCATCGTCTACTACTTCCTTGCATCACAACATTGTATAATAAAGTTGGATAGTAAAATATCCTGGCAGCAAAACCTGATGACATCGTGTAGTCACTGATTACAGATATCCAGCTCAAAAMTGATGCACTATCATCTCCAGCGTCTCGCATTAAATGCTATATTTGAATCCAACATTTAATTGCCGTTTACCGGAAAAAATATCTAACGGAGAACAAAAATGAAATGTTGGTCGAAACCAGCATGTCTTGAATTACAGCCTTGCTGGTATGTTGTGGGCTTCCTGTGATATTTGGAGTGCGTGCTCGGGATCAGAGACTGAGGACGAAACTCAGGAAGAATCTTTGCCTTTTGCCCTCGACATCTCGAAAGTCATTCAAATATAAATTTCTATTTGGAAAAAACTAAACACCGGAGAATATAAATAATTAGTTTAAATAGCAATTGAAAATATGACCTCAAAAATTCTGTTCGTGTTATTCTGGTCCCGTTACGTCACTCATTGACATTCCACATAACATGGAAACGAGGTTGCTGTTGTTTTTGTTCGAGCACTGAAAATCTTTGAGTTGCTTTCGACTTTTTCTATTCTTGACTTCGATTCACTGCTTATTAATGGTTTGAACAATGGAGAACCGAAACAAGGTAGTGACGATTAAAGAAGCAGTTTTGACGAAATACAGTGACGATGGATTCGAGGTGAACAACTTTAATCACATCAGTTTTTCCCCAAAACGAAAAGGTAAGTAGTTTCAAGTGTGTTTTTACATTGGTTTCGTGATCGGTGGAACACGTCGTCCATAAACCAGTATTGGATCACATGTTATATTGTTTGTCTTATCTATTGTCCTTCTACGTTATTTTATTGAAAAATATGCTCCTGATGTACACTAGCCTTCAAAACGATGAGTTTGCTTTTTATGACAAGATATTGAAACAAATACAAGCATTCCCTGTTAAACTTGCTTTAGAATGGCTCAGGGCACCCATTGTACGAAATGCAAAGAAATTATTGTTTATAGTTGCTTTGTTGTTACTGATACAAAATTGTAATTATTAGTATTTAAATTGTTTAAAATTGATTTTATTCTGACTTGTACAACTGATTTTTAAAACATTCAAAAAAAAAATTTGTTTACAATCAGTAATATATGATAATTTATTCGTAAAAGCATTAACTGACACATGTCATTCTTTAAATGATAATTCTTTAGTAATTGCTGAGTGTCAGGTTAAGCTTCATGCATAAAATTATGCTTCAAATTTTAGTATCATTTAAGTTTTAATTAGAAATAAGGCTTTTAATTATTTTGCAGTTTATTATTTATCATTCAAATTATGATTCTTATTAGATTATATATTTTTAATAACAATGAGTAAATTTTAATGAATTATTTTATTGATGTGATTCATATTTCTAGCAAGTCTCAGTCAAGCACTCGATCTGTCAAAAAGAACCATTCTTGCACTAGACGACTGTGATATCTCGTGTGTAGGAAATCCTGAAGACATATTACAGCTTTGTCCAAATCTTGRGGAGCTTGATTTGACAAATAATCATATATCTAATTGGCAAGAGGTAAACAAAACAAGATTTATTATTTATCACATATAAATATGATGTGCTGGTCCACCGAACCTTGTCTTCTGAGGAGATTTTATTTAAGTAATGATAAAACACTGCTCTTAATTATTGGCCCTATATGTTTGCTGTAAGGATACTGAATGATAACTAATGTCTGCTTATTTAAGAGAAAGACAAAAAATGACTCTTCAAATAATTGCAGCCTGGCATTTACCATTATTATATTGGTACAGGTACTTATTTTCATTTTTTTTTAATTAATTTTAAAGGTGTTACCCATTATATCTCAACTGGATCAACTGAGAGTTCTTAATCTATCTGGCAACCCTCTTGGTACTGATGAAAATGATGAGCCATCACTTGAAGGTCTTGATAAATCCACTTCAATCAAGAAACTTATACTCAACAACACTGGAGTGACACTGACGTTTGTGTACTCATTGTTGGAATGCCTAACAGGGTAAGTGGAGCCATTTTTTTTGTGACAAGGGTGGTACACCTTCTCTGCTAGGTTGATAGTATMCAGGGCAAGTGCATGTTGCTTGTCTTGTTTACTTGTAGTATTATTTTCCTTTAAATTCAATTAACTTTATTATTATCGCAGAGTGGATGAGCTTTTCCTTAGTCTAAACGGATATTCTGGTATTCCAACCACTGATAAGACCTTCCCAAACATCACAAATCTCTACCTTAATGAACACTGCATGAAAGAATGGAACCAGATCATGGCCATTGGGAAAATCTTTCCTCAACTAGAACAGCTCACAATGACAGATTGTCCCCTGGAAATGGTGCTACCTGAWAAAGCTGGTGAGCACTTCCCAAAACTCAAAGTACTACGCCTGAACAAGACTGCTATTTGTGATTGGAGTAGYATTGATGCTTTAAATGCATTTCCATCTCTTATGGATGTTAAGTTTATTGGCATACCATTGCTGGAAGATGACAGAGAAGAGACTCGCCAACTTGCGCTTGCAMGATTACCCAATGTTACAAAGATTAATGGAGCAAGAGTAGGTGAAAAGGAAAGAGAAGATGCTGAACGGTTTTTCATTCGTTATCACATGGATGATGCAAATCCCCCCAAACGTTACCAAGAGTTGATTAAAGTTCATGGTGTACTTGATAGACTAGCTGAGGTCAACTTAGGCCCTCCTACATCGGTCAAGCTTTCTATCATCTATGAAAACCAGTCTCCATTAGTAAGAGATGTACATTTGAAACAGACAACAAGAGATTTCAAAAAATATCTCAGTAATGAATTGAGTCTTCCAACATCCAAGATGAGAATCTATTATCATGATATTGATACTTTATATGGACCAGAGGAGATGAAATATTTGGACAGAACCTTGAGTCGTTATAATATGGTGGATGGCGATGAGATATTAATCTATAACAAAGACTTGGATCGATAGCTTAATGTTCAGTCAATATTTGAGTTGTTTGCAGGGTGATGTTCAGCTAATAAACATTAATTTTTGTATTTTTTTCTGGAATGAAGAGTTATAAAAAGTCATATTTTTCTTTCTTATATGTGATGGTCCAGCTGTAGGTTATATATATGGACTGGGCCTGTTTGAATGAATTTATTTGCTTAAAATGTTTCACTTGGGAATAATCTTTATAAAACTGTACATAAAGAAATTTAAAGCTAATTATTAATAAATAATTGTGCATTACTTATGTTTTATTCAATATTGTGTAAATAGTTCCATTTGTGAAAAATAAACAACACATTGTTCTAATTTTGCTGATCAATACATCTGAAAGAAACATCAGAAAAGTGATTAAAAATAATCACTATCTTCAGGAATATGGAGTTCTGCATAATAGAGTGGATTTCATATGACTGTGCAAAGACACGGATCACAACACGGACATGGCATGGTCACGGAACCTCGCCCGGTAGTGATCCAAATAAAAACAAGGAACCAGGAATACATCACTGTCAAGCCATGGTACAGACATGGCACGAAAGTGCAGTATTTTTTGCACAGTCATACGAAAAATCCGCTCTAATACACAGAGCGGATTAAAATTGTTGGGTTGCAACCAGGAATCCCATGGGAAAATAACAAACATACTGCCTTCATTTTGGATGAATGATGAAGTTCTTTTTGTCCACTGTGCATGGCAGCTATAATGTAATGTGCAACCCATGAATAGAAATGTTGGAATTACACATGATGAACTAATGATGTACAACAATGAATTGTGGCATCTATATTACAGAGACATTGCATGTCATTTCTTCATCTGTTAGCTTGTGTTCATCACAGTTGCCTGGAAGGTTTGCAGAATATTGTTTTAAATTAAAAGTTGCCACTTTTATTGTATGTTACTGTACATTAAACATTCAAATAATCAAGATATTCAAAGGGAATTTCACCTCTTGTATAGAACTTTTATTGTGCCTCTTTTTCCCTCTTGAGTTCCCTCTTGATGGTCTATGAAATCCTCTCGAGGACCCTCGGCCAAAGCAAATGGTTCTAGGTGGTCTAGTGACAAATAATAATGCAAAACTTTGCATTTCAAGATGAGTTGTCACTTTACAAAATACTAGGTGACATGACAAACCTCGGTTTAGGATTACTGTGATGTTTATGTCCAGAATTTGACTGCTGAAGAGGAGAAAAATGTTGATTAATAATGAGAGAACCAAAAAAATATTTTATCAACAATAAAAGTAGAAAGGCAAGATTTAGTTCTTTAGATTTTCCTTGCAATATTTCTTTCTTGACAAAACTACATGATTTATCGAAGAAACAACTTACAGAATCGTATGGTTCTGTCTCCATTAAAGTTTCATTTGAATCTCCAGTAGATTGCTCCTTATTTTCACCATTTTGTCTGTTACAGAATTGAAAACACAGTCACTTTTATTGCATTCTTGAAGTAATATGGCTAGAGTATAGCACTCAATAAAAATATATTTTCCCAACCTTCTCAATTTCCGTTGAGTTCTACTTGGCCTGTTAAATCTAAAGTCAGAGGGATATTTGTGCACTTGAACAAGATGTTTCTAAAAAAATGTGTTAAAAGACCTTAGTAATATTATAATCTTATGACACTTAAATAGCATTTAAGTGTATTTTTTTAGAAGACAAATTTCATGTGCCATCTTGAAATAGTTTCCAAAAAGAATTTATTTTTCATTTACACCTTTCTATCATCTTCTCCTCCAAACTTATCAGGACAAGTTTCAACCAGACATCTGTACTGAAAGGGAAGTATATATGCCATTAAATATTCTAATTTATTAATAGTATTGTAAGATTATTTTTTTTAGTATTGTAAGATTAATATATTATGAAATTACAAAGTTTTACAAAGTCTGAATCCCGCACTCAACACAACACAACATGTAGCACTCTACCAGTCCTAGTCTATGCCACCATACATGATATCACTACATGTAGCACTCTACCAGTCCTAGTCTACCCCACCATTACATGATATCACGCAATTATATAACTGATCAACTCTCCTTACAGAATTAATATTAATAGAATATTTGCTGATGATTTTAATTGAGGGCTAAATTATGAAATTTAAGACAGGGTTAAATTTGGAGCAATGCCCTGCCTGCGCTCGCTTGATGGACTGCTTGCAGTTGGATTGCTAGACACAGTTTGTTTTAGATTTCACCAATCATTGGCTACTAATGGAATGGCAGGACATTCTGCTTGGACAAGTGCTATGTAGGTCAGTGTAAAGTGCAGTAAAGTGCATGCAGTGGCCCTAAGCTGTGCAGCTGTGCACCTGCCCAGATCATTGCATGTTCTTAATTTGCTGCCCCCACCCACCACTACCTGGTAAGGATATGTATGTATCATTTTTGTAGTCTTTGGACCACAAATATTCTACTCCATGACTGAATGAAAACATGTACAAAGTATTTTTACCATAAATTTCTTTGTAGCAATCATCTGGAATAAAGTATCATGATTCTCCAGGATATGTAAATCCAATAAAAAACTTGTCTGGAATGATTTCCTGCAAAATCTACAGCTATTCCAGTGACAGCCTCTGTAGTGAACTTCATACCTATAAAAGTTGGAAAGTGTTCATTTGGTTACTCATTAAGTATTTCTTCAGAGGCAGTTTAAAGCAAAAATATACTGTTTATTGGAACATTTTTTTTAGTAATTTCATAAATGAATGAATGGATGATAGAATGGATGGATAAATAGAGAACAATTAATTTTATAACTATACTAGAAAGTGTATATTACTGTTCTTTGTTCTCAAATTACTGCTTTGTTTAGTATATTAAGAATAAAGTTTTATCTTACTTTTTGATATTTACAAAATATTGATTGCAACCAGCCACGGAGCATTTGAATTCCTTCGACGACCTGCAATGCAAAATAGTATTTAACAATATATCAATAAACTGCCTTAGTTTTATACCATACAAGTGCAAGAAATAAATTACCATTCATCAAGGTCTTCTATTTCATTGCAGTTGATTTGTTTTCGTTGAAGATTGCACTGAATGTTACCTTCCTGTAGACAGAACAAGCATGTCATAATCTTTAAAGGTTTTTTTCTACAGAAAAAAATAAATGAAGTACCTCAAAGAAAGCATCATCTGGACAAAACAATCTTTTGAAAGGATGATAGCACCARCTCAAAGTCATTTTGGTACTTATAGAGTGCAAAAAGACATAATAACATATTGATTTTGCAAGTTGATCAAAATTCAGCCRTCTTATTCGGCGGCCATATTRACACCACAGGTATCCCATAAAATTATAAAGGGAGCCCAATATTAACGGATGTAAGTTGAAAGGTGCACGAATTTCCATATTGCGCTCTGGATTTGATTGATTTTATTAGCAACCAAATACAGTCATTGAAACTGAGCAGAAATTGGGAATGAGTTGGATCACGGTTGATGGGAGACTCCTCCACTACTAGCCTCCTTTGCAGACGTTACACCGTACTATTGGTCMKACGTTCCCTATTGATAACCGATACTAATAACGTCTGCAAAAGAGGCTACTCCGCTATTATGTCTGGATGAAGAATATATATATGACAACTAATAGAAGATAAATAGAATAACAATTTATTTATGGAAATAATCAAATTCAATATTTTCAGTGCTATTCCATTATAAAGAAAAGCAAAAGAACCAAAAAAACTTTAGAGTCGTTCAATATTATTGACAAATTAGGTTTTGCGCACCTTTCGCTAAAAACGACGTCTACTCGCCCGTGAAATACTTCAAAGCCTCTATACTCGCCAGGCGAACAAATTGACGGTTCACGCCATCAATAAAGCGATTCTCTTTTTAACATTTTTGTGTCGCATTAGTTTAAAGTAACCACCATTGCAGACGTTCCATGTGTAGCTTGGGACTCCCTACAAAATGAACTACATATAACGTCTGCAACGTAGGTTCGATGGGTCAACAAACTGGAAGCACCACGTGACCAAAAAGCAAGGCAATCAGTCACGTGCTGTTTTCTCCAGTAAGGAAATACTATTTATAGAGATAAACCTTAAGCCGTGAAATTTCTAAGTAGGAACTTTTGAACAATCAGAGGTAGCCATTTATAGCACCTTTCTGTTCTACTCAGTTTAGTGATTGTATCATGGTTTWARTGCGCTTAAAAGCAATTTGGGATACGCCTTCCAAACATCTGAAAAGGTCAAAATGATTTATTACACTCCTCTCGGGTTATCCCATAATTATAAAACATGTTAATAGCTTTCTACAATGTGCTTTTGCAACTATTACTCAGTTACCATGAATGTTCCTAATTATCTTACTAACTCTGTTATCAAAAAATATTTTTTCATAATGAAACGAAACCAAACGCGGATATAGCTATAGAATTCAAAAAAGAACACACTGCGATCCGGCATTTCTGTATAAAATTAAAAGCAACTTAACAAAACGGTGCTCCTTAAATAAGTCGATGAGCTAGAGAGCAAATATTTTTTACATCCATGTCCCTGAAAAGAAACGCGAAATACAGCTGTGCACTGTGCATAGCAGGAAACGTCAGAAACGCAGGCTACCAACAGGTTTTATAAAGAAAGAGAACTGATGAAAAATTGATCGTAAACTACTCCTAAAGATCTACCCATCCGAGGAAATCCCGTTTTGTTAAGTTAAAATAACAATTTTTCTTTTAAATAACTAGCATGTCGGTGAGGTCTTTAATTCACATCTGAAGCAGACCTCGCAAAATTGCACAGGTCAGTCATCTGTCGTAAAGTTTTAACTGTCTTGGATGTGAATCAACTAACTCAATTATAGTATCGAACTTTGTGCTAGGCGTGCTCCAGTGATTGCAAGTCTTTCGTCGGGTCCAGACCCTTTGTACGATCTAGGGAGGGGAGGGGTTCGAGTGTTCGCTGGCATAGAATAGCGACTCTCTTCTGGAATTGATTTACAATTGAATACAGGCGACGAGTAACGTTGTGTTGGTAAATCACGTTGGTTTACGTTGTCATAAACAGAAACAGGTCGATTGTCATATACTGACAACGGTCGCTTTTCTGTCGT